CACGCGCACACCTCGTTGTGTGTGAGCCTGTGAGGGTATCCGTACGGCGAGATGTGAAAGGGTCTGGACGACTGAAGGATGAGTGAGGAGAGGAGATGTGGGGGAGTGAGGAGACAGAGAGTTGAGGAAAGTGACTAAGATTGGGGAGTGAGAGTGAGAGTGAGCCTGCGCCTGCGCCTGGCCTCCTCCTCCCTCTCCAGTAAGGACGGGGAGACGACCTGAGAGCGGGATGTGTGTGCGTTATCGCTTTATTCGCCTCCTCTCCGCGGCACCGGCACGCCGCGCCAGCAGCTGTCATCTTTTGGTTGGCAGCATGCCAGCAGCAGAAGCACCTCACTTTCCGCGGGTTGCACTGTTGCACATCGTCTTTTTGGCCGCGTCTAGGCCCTTTCGGAACAAACGACCGACCGGGGGCTTCGCGGGACTGGAACCCCTCGGAGGAGCTACTGCAGTGACGGACAGTTCGTGAGCGCCGAACTGGGGCCTCCTGGGGGTCTTCTGGAGCCCTGGGAGGTGCCGAGGTTTGATCCATATTGCATTTTTATTGATCCTGCTCAGACTTTTTGTCACCGGTCCCAACGGTCGAGCAGCAAATTACAAACCATCCGTCCGCGGTCCGGGGCACTGTTGCCGCCTTTCCGTCTTTCTCGAAACTCTCGGGAACAATCCAACGGCCGTCCCCGATCGATCGTCGGTCTGCACGTACCCCTTTCATTCCGGCATTATCCCATGTCGTATTGCAGTCTCTCTGTGACTTGTCGTCATCACCATCGCCAGTCGAAACTTGAACTTGCGGAATGTCTTGAGAGGAAGACAGAGAGAGCATACGTACGAATCTTCGTACGAGTAACCGTACGTCGCCCTAGTCACTGACGGGAATGGCTGCAGCTCGCGTGCGGCATGCATCGAATAGGGCTTCCAGCGGAACTGAGGCCAGGGTTGAAATTGTTTTAGCTCCGTTTTCCCAGCCAAATGCCCAGCCCTTTTCTACGAAATTAGTACGAATACAGCCTACTGCCGCCGGCTGCATGCTGATTTCTAACGGTCTCTCCCAATCCCGTTCTTCGTTCAATTCCGGTGGGCTCCACGAGAAACAGAGGGACCAAGAAACCGCGGCCCAAACCTGCATGCCATGGCCCACGCCTCGCTTCCTTCAAAGTTCCCTCTACGGAGTAGGACTTTGCATTCTGCGGTGCCCGCCGAAAGGTGACTGGTCGCTTTCCGGGGCGGCACGCCGTGATCTGGCAATCTGTCGGGTTCGCTTCCCTGTCGCAGCTCCAGAGGAAAAGGGCTGAATCGAAAGCATGCCCTGTCCAAGTTTCTCGAACCATTTCTGCTAGCAGAGGTGTCACTGCAGAAGAGACATACGGATGCAAACTATCTGCCTGCTATTGTGTCTATACTCTGTGCAATTGATTGGGTATCCTCGGAGGCCTCGTCACCAGTGACCGGGTCCGAGTCGACGAAAGGCTGCGTTCCCTCCCGCTGCATTGGTCTACTACTGCAGAAAAAAGCAACGGGTCCTGGATGTTGTCTAAGACACGGCCAGACTATTCGTTCAAGTTTCAACAGCGATGACGCCGCCAGCATTGGTGTTCCCCCATCGAGCCTGAGACGGAGCCCGAACGTCTGCCATGGCCAGAGACATGCGGAGCATCGCCGCCGGCGACACAAACAAAACAAGACAAGTCCTTGTCGGGACTTTAAGCTCGCTATTGTGATTAATTGATTAAGAAAGAATGATGATATGTGACATGTGATGGTTACATATGCGCACAACGCACAACTGTCTGGTATCTACGACTATCCACGCCAAAATGCAATTCAAAATCGATCGATCGACCCATTACACCAGGGCTTTCACACGGGCCCACAGTCTCTGCCTCTTACTCTTGGTATTGCTCCGGCGGCTACGAATGAGGGGGACGTATTAGACACAATTACAAATTCTCACGGGGGGAGGGGTTCTGCATCGAGATACGTATGCCAACCACTTACAGTTCCTTTTGCGACTGCGCTTCTTCCTTTTGCGGTTGCTTTTCTGACGACGTCGCAGGAGCAGTTACAGCCTCTTTCGTTGCAGCTTCAGTCGGCGCCTCAGCTGCAGCCGCAGCCGCAGCAGCAGTTGTACCATCGCCGCCGCCGATTCCAACGGTGAGAAGCTTCGGGTTGGAGTCGAAGAGCGAGCCGGACTGGTCGGTGCCGTTTGACGAGCTGACGTCGTCGTAGGGAAACGCGTAGCCGCGGCCGTCGGGGCTGACCTCGTGACAGATGCGCGAGTAGTGGTTCGTACGGACGTCCTTGTAGTAGTTGGCCACGCTCTCCCCCTCGGGCTGCCGGTCATTGATGAGCAGCGTCGACCGGTTAAAGGCCGCCGCGATGCGGGCGCCGATAGCCCCCATCTCGGCCTGATTCTTGGGGTACCCGCCAAACGGCCCCGTGCTGCAGCTAAAGATGTCGCGGGCGGCGGGCTGGGCAAAGGAGCCGACGTCGTCAAACGTCAGGAGGTTATCGGAGCCCACGCGGCCCTTGACGTCGCCCCATTCCGCCTGCGTGTTGACGGTGAGGTCGGCGGAGCGGTACTTGGCCCACACGGCGTCCACGTAGGGCTGATAGTACCCGTTGAAGAGGTTTTGGTTCATGACAATACCCGAGTTGGGGCTCAGGGCGCGCAGGTTGGCGGACCCGTCCGCCGTACGCACGACGAGATTGCTCCAGCCCGCGCCGTCGGCGGCATCTTGCGCCTTGAGCTTGTCGCAGATGGTGTCAAGGGCATTGCTCGGGAACCCTTGCACGTTGGTGACAGTGCCGGCGTCGTTCTCGAGTGTCAGGGACACGGGGATGCTGACAAAGTCGACGTACGAGATGTTGACGTAGACCTGGAAGCTGTTAAAGGTGAACTCGCAGAAGCCCCAGTTGAGGTTGTAGTTGGGGTCCGCCGGGTTGGTCGCCGAGGGCTCCACCACGGCCGGGCCCGGATTCAGGAAGAACTTGAGCGGGCCGTCCCGGGAGAACCATATGCGGCCGCCGGCGATCTGGGGAATGGTCAGCTTCTTCGTCGACCCCGGCGCGCCGAGCGGGATCGCGGTGTCGGCGCCGACGTCCTGAAGGATGTCCGAGGGTGAGCTCGGGTAGTAGCCGGTGACGCCGTCGGCCTGAAGGAGGAAGACGGCGTTGTTGCGGTTGAGGTCCAGGCCGGTTACGTAGGCGTAGGCGTTGGCGGAGCCCGTATTGTTCTTGAGAACGATGTCGAGCGTTGATCTCGTCATGGCTTCTTTTGTTACGCGTTTGATATGTTGCTGTGTTTTCTGTTCTATGTCTCTTCTCTGGTGGGTCAAGGGCTTTCAAGCTAATTTTTCCAGAAAAAGATGATGGTTCAAGCCTTTTTATGATTCAAGACGGCGTCCCCTCCGGCTTCCAAGCTTGATGGGCCTGTACCTTGGAACGTTGACTGGCGCGACTAATCGCTCTTTAGTCAAGGTGGCCATGTGCAAGTTTTCTTTTGGGGCCCCCTGCCCCCCAACAGGATCTACAGGTGACTATTGGGTGGTTCGAACTTGGTTATAAACAGCCCAGTACGGATACGCGACACGCAAGTGTGATGTGTTGGACTCTCCCTCCCTTTGCTGGCACGGGCTGGATATGACGGAATCGTCGACATGGATATGCGGGACTAGTTCGCCTCTTGACCCCACTAGCAATGGACGTGTTGTCTTGCCCGGTTTTCTATTTGGTGACGAGACGAGCTCCACGCTTCGGCCGGCAGACGGTAGACCCCTCATAAGGCTCATCCTCGTGGTCTTTGGTGAGGTGTTGTGCCTTAGTTTTCGAGGACTGGTGGAGTGTAAGAAAGCAGCGCAGCTCTCTTCACGCCAGTCCCGTGTAAGTGAGCGGAGGGTGAGGGCGCATGCAGACAAGTATTGCTCGTTCAAAAGAGGGTATCGGTAGATGTCCAGGTATCATTCATCCGCAAAGCACCCACGGCACTCAAATCCGAGCAACTTACCAATATCTGCACAATGCTGCAGTCAGAAATACAGAACCTGGGGTAATCAATGTCTCGGCCCGGGCTTCTTTTCTCGAAACCTTTGTGGGGTGTGCGAACCGATCACCCGCCCCCCCGGGATGGATGAAGAGGCTTCAACTTCACTCGACAGAGTAATCCTGGAGGTTGCGCCCCGACCCCCGGCGACGCTACCGAACAGCTGCGGGAGCCTCCGAGGCGGACGGTGAGAGGTCAGTTTAGTCGTCGATCACTCCTTGTTCATGTGCCTTCTTTTTGGGGTATGGAGGGGGGCTAAACGGCATGCAAGTGCGGGCGGCTGATCCCCCTCCAAGGAACAGCTTTTTGGAGACGCGTTTTCCTGGGGAATCGCGAGACATTCTTCACTGCCGGTGGGTTAGATCGTCTGGCTGTCAAAAGTTGGGTCAGATGACGGGCTCCTTGACCAAATGTGTTGAACGTATGTATTGCTTACCTCTTAGCGCGCAACGGCAATGAATCGCCTTTTTGGGCTCTTGGTGGTCTCGGAAGTGTTGCAATATTAGCTGACGTCTTAAACCTCGTTGGTGTAAGTCCGAGAGAAACATCCTTTCTGGGACGAACTGTTTGGTCATCCGGTCCATCAGCTCCTTTATGGCCAAAGGTCGCTGCCACTTTTGACGTCCGCCTCATCATGAGAACGATTCTCCACTTGGGGAACTAAGTCCCTTGGCATATCACAGCGTGATGGTCAAGTCCTCGGATGGCAGAAATGTAAGAACGTATAGTGGATATCATTCGTAGGCATCATAAGTAATTAAGAAATAACATCATCTGATGAACGAAGCGCATGATCGCCTGACGGCCTGCCCTCCTTCTCAGGTCAAAACGCTATACCCAGAGACGCCTTGTGCTATGCCGGTAAAAATGAGAGCGCGCAAGCTCCCTGTTGTCCGAAAAATGAAGACCGAGCAGACCCAACCTGCCGGAATGAAAGAAGAAGACAAAAGGAAAAAGATCAGATGAACCATATCCCTAAAAGAAACAAGCCAACGACCAGAGACCACGACGGCGCCTCCAACGTCCCAGCAGCGGCAGCAACACCACCGCCACCCTCTCCACCGGAGCCGGGTGTTCCAGAAACAGTCTGGTTGTTCGTCATGTTGGTCTGTTCCGTGAAGAAGAAGTCGGGCGCGTCCGGGATGATACACACGGCGTCCGGCGCCGTCGGATCCGCGCACCGGCCTTCGTGGTCGGCCTTGCGCGTGTCGAGAGACGAATTGAAGTAGGCCCTGACCGACGCCACAGTCAAGATGGCGTCCTGCTTGGGCGGGCCTCCCGACCAGAGCGGATTCCCGTTGCTCCAGTGCTGGAGGATCAGGTGGCCCCCTTCCGTGGGCACGGCGCTGCCGTTCATAGAGCCCAGGACTTTCCCGTCGGCGTAGAAGGTGACGGCGTTGGGTAGGTAGTCGATACGGTACTCGTGGAAGGCCGCGGTCGGGTCGAAGCCGAGGTTGACTTTGAAAAAGTTGCCCGTGCCGGCGGCGTTGTAGCCCTTTTCGAGCGAGGCGCGGGACTGGAGGACGATGTTGACGGGGTAGGTGTTGTTTGATGAGTTGAATTCTCTTGTGAGGAACTCCATGTCGATCTCTTGGGTGTCATTGTGGTACTGTTCTTGACGTTAGTGAACTTGATATAATATGTAAATAGGCACGTCTGGTATAGCAACGTACCCAGAAGAAGGCAGCACATGTCCCAGCAACATCCGGGATCTTCATCATCGCCCTAAAAGAACCATACTGCACATCCTGTCGCGCCGAGTCGATCTCCGCGCCCGGCACCAGGCCGTTCGTCGTGGCGCTCTCGACAAGAAGCTGCAGCCCGGCGTCGGCCTTTGTCGAGCTGAGCCCGAACGAGCTCGACCCCTCGTGGACAGAGGCGACGTTTTCGGTCATGAACTTTTCTCCCAGAGGCCCACGGGCGTTTGTGTTTGTCTTGTTGAACTCTTGACGCGCCCAGTCCGTGTTGTTTGTAATGTTCTTGACTTTGGTAAAGTCGGTCTCGATGAGGTCGGTAAAGACCTCCATGGTGCCAGTGATGTTAGTGGCATACCCGCATTCGCAGGCTGCGTGTGCGAGGGTTGAAAGCAAGCTAGCCGCGAGCAGGCAAGCTGTTGTTGGATTCCTCATGGTGAATCTGTGACGAGATATATAGATGTACGGAAGTTGGTATAAGCAAAGATTGATGGTCGTTGCCACCGTGTAAGTGACGTGAGTCTGTGAATATCTCTACTACTACCAGAGTAGTACAATCCTCCAAAGTTTCTGACAGTGAATTAGAGCCAGTCTAAGCACACCTATGACACAGTCAAGACATGCAGAGAGGCTAAGGGATGACAAGATGCGAGTGAAGCAAATGATGATTGAGGAGAGGCGCGGGGGGAGGAACACCTCGGAGCAACAGCGCAAGATGAAACACAACAACACCAGCAACAAAAGGATGAGCAAGCAGATACAAGAACCGAAGAATGGGCAGGATCATCGGTAGACTATGTAGTAGCTCCAGAGAGCGGAGGGCCATGCAGTGCAACCAAACCATCGTGCCAGTGCCTCTGGCTGGACGGGGTGCTTCATCTACGGGAGCCGAAAATACAACCCTCCCCCTCGATTTTCCCAATGTAGGTACCCATCACATACACCCTAAGGCCTAGCTAGATGGTCTGGTTCAACGGACGGACTCGAAGTCAGGACCAACAGGGGAGGGGCTGGCAAAAGGGCCAAAGGCAGACAAAGGAACAGCCCTCGACGTTCGACACGACGTTCGAACATAACGGCATCGTTGTCAACCGTTGCTCAAGTGGAGGAGAAGCAGGAGGTCCCATCAAAGATCAACCATGTGGCAATGATTGACGGCTGGTGTCTCAAGCTTCCCGTCCGCCATCAACGCGATGCCAGAAGCGGCTTTGAAACGCAGCGAGGGTAAGAATAGGACCGCATGGAACAAAGAAGGGGAATCGTTGGTAAGAACGGGCAGAAGAACTTCCAAAGTATGTGTGTGTGTGTGTGTGTGTGTCGACTGTTCCCCGTCCAGTTCTCTTCGGGTTGGGCTGGGTTGGAATTTTCGCTCCGGCGGCAGCCAGCCATAACGTGGTGTTACGTCGTGTCGCCTCGACGTCGTATCGTGTGCCCTGCAGGAACCCGCGCAACACCGCACCGCACCTTGGGATTGGACGGATCATAGAGTACCGTAGCAGTACTGGAACCCCAAGTCGGGCTTGAAGACAAGACCAAAGAAGCTTTTCTCACTGCCGTCCCCCCCCCCCTTCTCTACACGTAGAGTCTAGGCATGGGCGGGGTGAATGAGAGGCCAAAGCCACTTGGTTAGAAACCCCGCCGAAGGGCTGCCGGCTGTCTCAGAGAGCAGAAGACAATGAAAACAGTTCCGCTGGCCCATAAGCTCCCAAGAAAGAGGCTCTGTCAAATTCAAGAGCATGCCGTCTATCGTGTGCTTTCTCTGGGGCTATAGTTCAGCTGTTAAAGGCTCAGCATATCGCGGACTTCACGAGGCAGTTCTTTTGCCGCCACTTCGGCTATACCAAGTTCCGTCTCGTCCTGATCCGATTCACTTGACACTGCCGGATCTTTGTATGATGGCCTTTGCACAGGGAATGGCCACTTGCCGCGGAAGCTGAGTGACTGCACTTGGGACTCGGTCGGCAACAAGTTCTGAATACATGCAAGTTTACGAGAATCCAGAGGGGATGTCGTCTTGACATCATTCGCCAATCAGCGGCTAGAAGTTCATCAGCAACTTTTGTCACGGTACGCTGTCTCGAGGGCCATCTCCCACCAAGCGACCTCTCTTTCCCTTCAGTATCGTAGAACGAAACCCATGGCTGCATTGGCTTCCCATGACACGCCCGCTCATCTTCTGGAAACTGCCCATTAGCGTCCTGCCCCGGCTCCGCTCGACCTACCTCATCCTTTCCAAGGGTTCTTTGTTGTGGCTCACGCTCAACGTCAAAGTTGATTTCTTTGTCGCCGAGCTACCTAGATTTTCTGGTGAGGAGAAAGGCCCTCTAGCGCGTATGGTGGAATGTATGATGGAATGTTGTCATCAAGCAAAAGCGTAGACACATAAACACCTCAAAGTTGCCTCACCCGAGTACACAGGAAGTTCATGTAATGCCAATGAGAAGTGATATTCTTAAATATGCTTAACGGACAGGAAACTATTTATACAGTTGTGCTCAAGAACCAGCTCCACCCCCCCCCCCCACCCCCGTCTCTGATTAAGTCAAGCTTGGTGGTTCTCTTGTCTTAAGAGTACACATCCAAGCCAGCCATTGTGAGCATCTGTCTCCCATACAATCCGCTCATGCCAAGACAAATTTACACAGCAGACGATCAAATCAGAGTAGATGTAAATTCCAGGATAAGCAAATACTGCAATCTGTATATCGAACAAGGTATCTGAGCAAAGCGAAGCGAAAGATAGCAATGATAGGAAATAGCGCATAACAAAGGCAGGAGAGAGAACAGAGTAAAGATCAACAAGCAGACGCAATATCAACAGAGAAGAAAGGTCGAAGGAGAAGAGAAAGATGAAATGGATATCAGCAGCACAAAACATTAGTATGAGCTAATAGAACAAACGCGCAACAGTCATCACCAAGCCCACCCTGGACCAGCCAACAGTGCCCTGAGGCAGTCTTTGGGATGCGTGAGCAGGGCCCGAATTATCCCAATATCCTAGGGTTTGCTTTACCCAGGAATCCGTGCCGAACCCAATGCCCCCCCACCCTTCACCGTTTACCTGCCCCGTTGTTGCCGTGACCATGTCCAATGCTGGGACGCTCAAAAGGGAAACCAAGCCAAGGAAACAAGATACTAAAAGACCAGCTGCGCAGGCCGGTATACGCGTAATAATCATCCCAAAATTTCAAAAGCCTCTCTTCTGTGACGCCTGTCCCCTGCAAAGTCAAGGGGAATAAGCCTCAGACCGAGAGGGAGTGTTCGATCAACCACTCCAGATCCATTACGCCGAAACCCATCAGACGAAGAGGTATATGCCAAGGAGAAAAAAGCGCAAAAAAAGAAAAAGCCTTCAGGAAAGGAAAGACATAGGAAATCGTTCAATCGTCTTGTGACTAGTACACGCTATCCTCATCGGCCCCTTGCGAAATCATCGAAGGGGTCGACACGCTCGAGGAAGCTTCCATTTCGACCTGGTAGCCGACGAGTGCTTGTGCGTGCAGGCGGAAGGATTCTCCCATAAGTCGGGTGATTCTAACGTCTTGTTAGCCACTTAGTCTTTTGTTGAAGAGTAAAATCAGTCACTTACCCCCAGACCACAACCTCGTCCAACATGCTGCCCCACAGACGGGCAACAACAGAGCTAAGCTGGGAAGCATAGGCCTCGTCGAGGTCCTTGTCGAAAAGCTGTCGAACCTTGTTGTACATGGCCAATTCCTCCTCTGTAGCTGGCTCTTCGTCATGTTCCAGACGATAGAGCCAGAGCGAGAGGACAATCATAAGGTCAAGACCACACAAGGCATGCTCGACGCTCCAGTTGGTTGGCGAAGTTCGTGCAACCCAGCGCACGCCCTGAACCACGGCAATCTCGATACAGTTGTAGCATTCCTGAATAACCTTGATCATCTCACTGGAGCGCTTCACGCGATCCCGCGCGGCTGACATGGCAGCCGCGACCTCATAGGAATCGTGATAGCGCAGCGCCTCTTGCACAGATTTCAAATCAACTTCCAAACGAGTCCTGGCGTTCCGGTACAGAGCCTTGGCGTTGAAGATGAGAGGGTGTCCCTTGTGAGGAGCACTCAGTGGGACTGACACATTCTCAGGCTCGCAGAGCTCGCAGGACTTCTCCCACGTCTCCAGCGCGAGTCTGAGCTTGTACTCGGTCACAACATCCTGAAGTGCCTCGGGACTGCGCTTGTGGTACCACACTTCAAGGAACAGGGCGTTGATCATTACCCGCGACGCGAACGCGCTGTACCTGAGTGTCTCTCCCTGGAACAGGTTGTCGTGCGCCTCCATGAAAGTGACCACAGGCGACGCCTTCAAATGCTCATGCCAAGAGGCCTCGTCAGTGACCTTGAGGTTCCAGAGTCCCTCGGTAGAAGGGAGCTGCAAATCCTCAAACTCATTGAAGCTGATTGCTGGTGTGTGATTGTACGTCAAAGTGAGCAGGCCAAAGAAGATGTAAACTGCGTAGTAGGTGCGGCGGCAACCTTCATCCTCAATCCACTCGTTGCGGGTAGGTTGAGCGCTGTTGCGGGCTTCCTGACGAAGCTTGAGCTCGTAGCGGTTTCCCGCAACCATGTTGGCGAGCAGACTCTTGATAGAGCATGCCCATTCGAGCCCCTTCGGATCACCACTCCAGCTGGCAAAGATCATGTTGAGGAGCGAACCCTGCATCGTCCACAGAGGGCACTTGCGCGAGCTGAAGTTCTCCTTGTTCTGCAGGAACTGGTTGACGAGCACCTTGGATCCAATGTGCATCATGTAGGCCTGGTCCTGGTCAAACGCGTAGAGCGCACCGATGCTCAGCACTGCGAGAAGCAGAGCCGGAGACACCTTGGTCGAGTCAAAGGATGCAGGATGCAGGAATGGGAGATGGTGGTGGAACAGCCCAAAGTAGGTTGACAAGAATCGGTTCAGGGAGGCCAGATTGGGGAGGCGGAAACCATCGGGGATAGCATGCTCAGTGTCTTGTGCGCGGATGTTGTCGAGAATCTGGTTGCGTTCATCGTCGCTTGCAACCTGAGGGGCACGGAATCCAGCAGTTGATAAGGTCGCCTCGGTGACGAAAGGGCTTTGCGGCACAGGCGTACCAGCTTCGGAGTTTGGCAGCGAGTTGATCATGGACTGCAGCGCCGGGACGAGGCCGTTGCAAGTCTGTCCGTTGATGGGCGGAAGCTGAACGTTGCGAGGCTGCATGGTACTAGTGCTGTTGAAAGACTGCTGAGACTCAAACGAGCCAGATGCTGATGAAGCGATGGAGTGCGCCTTTGCTTCTGACGATTGAGACATGAAGCTCTCCCACTGAGGAACAGGTATGGCGCCCGAGGGGTAGGTGGCAGACGAGTCCATGGCGTGTGGCGAATAGGGCATCGATGGACTGCCTCCTGCGCGTGCGCCAGCGGCGGCCTTGTGCTGAAAGTCTGCAA